GTGAGGTGACCCGCCTACGCGGGTTGCCCGGTCTGCCAGGTAGGGTAACCCGGTCATTTTTATTGGTTTATTTTATTGGTTTCCCAAACTATTCCGCATAACTTATAAAGTCAACGGTTCCTCGCGAAACCAAACACCGCGTAACACAACGCGTGAAGCTTTCATGAATTAATACACGTGTCCGAGAATTAATATTTCGTCCTTTTCGACGATTGAGCTTGGGACGCCTCTACTCAAACTCCTTAATTGCAAGCGCAACAACAACCTCAAGAAACCTCACCCCAGCACCCCGAGGTTGTAAGAGTGCATGTAAACACGTTTTATTTTTCGACCACGGCTAGGCGGGTTACCTCACCTAACTGGGGTTCCCCGGCTCTATGTAAACAGGCCCTAAATTTCGCAGCTTGCTCGCTTCGCAGTTTTAGCGGCTCTTTTGGACATAAGTCGCTGATTCAAACAGTAAAATGCTCTCGTTTCAAAGAAAAATATTCTCCTCAAAGCCTCCGTGATATGCAGATCACACCCATTGAGATATTTCTGCGAGGAAAAGTTTGATTTAAACTACGCGTCGGTGACCACGTCGGTAAACATTTTGGGAAGTCTACATTGTCTTTTGCAGTGTCACGGCAAGAACTGCGAGAATCATGTCTTCGCATCTACTGGGCATAATTCGCTTATTCAAACGGTTAAATGCTCTCTTCAAAGAAAAATTCCTCTAAATCTCATAATGCGCCGGACCACATGGAAAAGTGTTGTTTTTAATCACGCGCAAATCTGAAATGATAGTGAGATGTCTATTCAGTCCGCTGTCCTTTGAAGTGTCACGGCAAGAACTAGAAACATTATGCGTTAGTGGTTATAAGCCTAAATTCACAAAAGAAGAGAGCACAACGAGTATCTAGTGCAAATGTCGACCTTACTAAGATACTACGAAACAAACAAAAAGTAGCACAAAATCAAGATCCATTGGTAAAATGACTCACTCACTCACTCACTCACTAACGCACCCACTCACTAACTCTTGACGACGACATACGTGGCTTCGTCTCCAGCAGCAGCAACAACAAACAAGACGCCTGGAGGCGATTCCGTGGGATGCGTTGGTTACTGAGCGTAGCATTAGAAGGAATTGTGCAGTTACAGCAACTACCATGATTAGTCAGTTAGATCACCCGAAGAAATCACTGATTTTTTTCTGGAACTGGACATACTGATCTCTTCGTGTTTCTCATGACTTGTTTCATTCCACCGACGGGCAACGGCTGGAAAAAAAAAATTCCATTTCCGCTGAAAACGACTTGTCTCCTTTGAGGACGTAATTTGTTTATCAAAAACTTAAACGAAAAAGAAGCGGTTTTTAGAACATTTAACGGTAAACTAGTTATTACCAAAGATTAGGAAATGTGGGCGAGGACGATGTATTTTTAGCTATTTGGTTAATGAAAGATTTGGGGGCCCACAGGGAGAAAATATTTGTTTTGAGGGGTTGAAATTTTTAGTCCATGAGGCCACCCCCCATGCTCCACTCGCTTTTCCCTCTGTTTTGACATTAACAATAGAGTGATTTTACTAAACCTGTGAAACAGTTACCAACACATGATGATTCCATGAGATACTAGTCCCATTGTTTTGTTTAGTTTTAGTAATATGCTGTAATCGTTGTTTCACGGTCTGGAGAAAATCACTGTAGGTTATAAAATATGCGTATTGATCCAGTCAAAATGATTGATGTAACGCAACAATTATTTATTTAATATCATAACATGCAAAACTTAGAGATGTTATTTGAATGAATAACAATAAAATCCAAAAAATAAGGCACTTGTTGATGTGCATAGTTTAAAATTTTACTGTATGTAAGACTGAACACCGCTGTCGCACCACGCCTCTACGGGATCAAAGACAACAGTCTCAGACTATGCGCTTGTCAGGTCAAGGACGAACAATACAGACGCTCCACGCTTGAAGTAAAGGACGAACAGATACGACCTTAACTCGACGCTTGAGGTCAAGGACTAAGGGCCTGTTTACATGGAAGTGGGGGACCCCAGGTAGGTGGGGTAACCCGCCTAGCCGTGGTCGAAAAACAAAAAGCGTTTAAATACAATCTTACGACCCTGGGGTGCTGGGGTGAGGTTTCTTGAGGTTGTTCATTTTCGCATCACGGAAAAACAAGCCGACGTATGGGTTATGTTCCATTTTACGATTAGACCTTTTAACTCGCCGAAAATTTAAAGAATTCTTAAATTATTTTGAACTAAATGAACCTTGAACTAGATACACCACTCTGTTGAACGCATACGTCAGCGGCTATTTTTTTTGTGGTGGGGGGAAGGATATGTTCGCTCACCTCGCTCATCCCCCCACGGGCTGGATTGAGGCCTGTAAGGATTCGTGACAAAGAATCTGCTCGATTCGCTCGGAACCTCGTTCAAACCCCAAAGAACTTGTTTTCCACGACAAGATCATGTGCCTCGTGGAAATATTAGGTAAATTTTTCTTTAATTTGTTCCCTGCTAAGACTTATTGTTATTCCATCATGCATTGTGGTAATTTTTAGCTAGAACTATTTCGTGACTGAGGTGTTAGAATTTGACTTTTCGCATGATTACAACTTATTTGTTCACAGCTGGGTAAAATTTCCGCATAGCCCCATACTATTGTAAAACAAATCTGTTTTCCCGATGGCAATGTATTATTTTTTGTAATTGTTTTCTCTATCCAAGAACTGAATGCATAATGTAGGATGGGGCTGTGCGGAAACTTTATCTCATTATTTTACGTAAGCTGCATTTGTAGATCTTCATTAGAAAGGCTAGAAAATTTGAATTTTGATATCGAAGCCATCGTTCATCCGCATGTAACATGAGAAAACAGAACAGCACCATTTTAGTACACAGATTAGGCGGTATTCGGTCGTTCCGCCTGAGAGTCAAACCGCCCAAGACCTTTCCACCCGAACTTCGAAGTCATTGTGCCCGATGTATATCTCGTCTTATCTATGAGTTGTGTAGAGTTCTTTAAAATGGTATCTTAGATAAAACTAGTGTGTTATGAGTTTTGTAACGAAATACAACATGAATGGTTTAATATTTTTTTCTGAGTTGTCTACTGACTCTGCAGTAAAATTCGTCTCGGCTACGTTCCGTTCACTGTTTGCATGACCGCCATAAAAAGCATTACTTAAACAAATTTGGTATCCCATTTTCAAGCCCGTAGAATCATTTCGTTTCCGTGGTAGTAGCATTTTTAGTGAAATATCTTACAAAACCAGACATTTTATTCAACTGACATCACAACTGACTTTTTGCCTCAAAAATTTGGCCTCGATGTGTCTATTACGTAACAAAATGATTTCGCTTTTGATCGCTGACGTTCCGAAGAAGTTAAATATTCCAGCGGTTGAATGAGCAGTTGTTTTGGTAACACGGTCAACAAATATTTACAAACATTTACTAAAAGAAATTTTAAAAATGGAATAACAGCCTAATCTTTGTAATTTGATGTACTGTTTGTTCGTCGGGCAGATCGAAGTCCATTCTCGGGCGGATCGACTTCGGGCGGATTGTCTTTTGTAGTACTTTTTCAGTTCATTTTCCAATACTACTTTCACCTGATTGATTAATTATTCCTAAGTTGCTATTTATTAATTTGCAGAATGTCAGTGTTTTTTTTATCATAAGACAGCCGACTCCTCAATGGCACCTGTTGTAATACGTTACATATCAATCTTTCTTAGCGGCACAGCGTTTTGGAAATCATTTACCTATGTCGCTTGAGACTGTTCCCAAATCTCATTCTTGACAGCTCTACTATGAATTACTATAACTATGTGATTTCCTACTAAAGTCAAACCTGTATTAGCAGTTAACCCCAGGGTATGGCATGGTGATCACTTCATGCAGGTTGACCATTTAATACAGGTTCTACAGAATAAGGGTACATTTGATGCACGAAATTCACCCACAAATACTACTGGTGTTGATTTCTGGGGATAAACATGGACAAAATATACTTGAAAACTTGTTTTTAGTTTTATTTGAGTGGTTCTGGTTTTAGAGTTAAGGGTGGTTATATGACTGCTTAATAGAGGTAATGTTTAACCCTTCAACTCCAAAAGATATCATTAGTAATTCTCCTTATTGTCTGCCATACAATTCTTATGATGTCAATTCGGAAAATCTGATATTGGGTCAACTACTAATGCCCTAATTCATATTTTACTTCATTCTTATCACTTCTATGCTTGATATTGTATAGATATTGTAAGGAGAAATTAGATATCTGATAGTCTTTTTAAAGCAAAGGTGAGAAGCTCTAGACCTGTTTTAAAGACCAGCAACTGGTCTGCTGAGGCCTGAGTTTGTGTAGGTTTGTTAGTGCTATTTTGTGACCTCTTTGGTTATGCAGAAGACAGTAGGTATTTTTGTGTTTATTTGTCATGGGTTGCCTGTACTTTAATTTCCACTGGGACAGTATGGTGACGTCATATTTACTTCAGTGTTGTGTCTGTCGAATGAAAAATTATGATGATAATGTTTTTGTACTGTCCTGTTGGGTTTTTTAGTTTTTCAGTTTTTGCCCCAAGCTTCTTATAGTCATTTTATGGCATGGATTGCATGGATTGCATTGAATTTCAAATGTATTGGACATGTATGTTTACAGGGGGGAAGGAAGAAACTGATATTACTAATTTTTTCCTCAAGGGATGATACAGACATTTGTTGTTACGCAGAGGTACTGTATAGGTCCCATATGCCTGGGTTGAATAGACCCAATGAATACCCAAAAATCTCAAGTCGATCTAATTTAAAAGGACAAAACATATAATAAAGATTAAGCTGTTTACAGGAAATGTGTATGATTTCTTCACAGCTGCAAGTCCCAACAACAGATGTTGGCCAGGAAACATTGACAACGACAACCTCATCTTAAGTGGCCTTAATGGAACGTTTGAGAGTCCAAGAGATGCTTATAATTACTCCCAATATTATCCAGGAATGAGCTGTAACTGGTTCATTACAGTACCAGAAGGGAACATTGTAAAACTCAGCTTCGAGCTATTCGATATGGAGTCTGTGGCTGCAGGTTTTCCTTTATGGCGTTGCTATGGTGATTATGTAGAGGTACTAGACGTGTACGGAAGTGGAAGAAAGTTCTGTGGTGAGTCAAATCCAGGGATAATCCGCTCGAGAAGTCGGTACATGTGGGTGCGATTCAGATCAGATTCCTCCTCCTCCTCGCATCGATATCATAAAGGGTTTAAGGCTAATTTCACTGCAGAGAATAAACTCAGTAAGTCAATTAGTGTGCCACTATGGAAATTAAGCCATTGTGGATGAAGGAGGCCCTTTTTTTTTGTTTAGTCAACATAAGTTATCTCCTCTCTTGAGTCAAGAACTTTTCTTCTTCAAAGCACTTTTTTTTTTTTTCTTAAACGAGGTCCATTTCTTGAGAGAAAGTTCCTTGCATTTGCCCTATTTTCATGCTGATGGTAGGGTGGTTTTCCTCCTCTCTAGAGAGATTTCACCACCTCAGCATAAGTCATCATCAGAGCCAAGTAAAGAATTATTGTCTGTTGAATTTCATAAGTCTGGTTCTTGTGTTATGATTGGTCAATTTTGCCGTGATCTTATTGGCTGTGAGACTCAAATGACGTAAGGTTGATGTGATTGGTCAGTTTGTTCTGTTGGTAATATTTGGTCGTGCTATTAATTTTATTTGTGGTGTAGTCGTTGAAATTTGGCATGGGATTCTGTTCCAATGGAGTGAACCAGCTTTCCAGAAACTTTCATCTATAGCGTTACAGCATTGCACTCTGAAACGTTAGTCAGTACTATGAACAATGGTCCTTCTCAGGACTTTTCTCACATTGTTACTCCTGGGTGCAAACCATTCGTTGTATTTGTACTTTTTAGTTTGTCCTCGCTACGGTGAAGCACTTGCTGCTTCTATATCAGATAAGAAGACACTGACGAGTCCAGGCTATCCTCTCTTGCCTCCTGCCAGTTTGTTTTCATGGTGGTGCAAATGGATACTCAAAGTACCGGATGACCTTTCCACTGGTGGAGCATATGTTTTGAAAGTTACATTTAATCACTTCAATCTGCAAAAAAGTTATGATAGACTCACTTTTTATGATGGTATCGATTCATCATACAAGCGTCTTGGAAAATCATATACCGGAACGGTCCATCCTGATGTGATTTATTCCACAGGACGCCACATGTTTGCTGATTTTTCTGTGGAAGAGAAATACTTATTGGAAGCAGGCAGTTTTAGTTTAAACTTTTCAGCCGTGGTCAGAGGTAACGTTATTTGGGCATTCTTGGGTTTACTCTGAAACTCAGTTGGCCTAAGGGGCTTAGGGAGGGGGGGAGGGTGAGGAAATGGGATCGTTTAAGTTTTTCTTGCGTAAGTTTGCGGAGTTTGTCTTTCCGTGGTTTGACTATTGAAGCCTTACAGGTGTTGAAAATGTACTGCAAGGCGTAGGGGAAAGTCTGATGGCATTATTTACAACACCATGATCTGTGGAAAGAGTCACTTTCCTATGTCTCACATATTTTGGTGAAGAAGACAAACGTACTATAGAAGCACTCAGCTCTTTATCAATTGTTTCCCGGCGGGGTGGGGGGGGGAGGGGAACGAATAAATTATACCGGAATAACGATGTGTGAAGTTGGTAAATATTGACAAGGATTGCAAATGAATGTCTGAATCGAGCTGCAACGTTCTTATTGATGCATTCATTTGCAGAGGAAGCCTTTGGAGCATGCCAATCGTCAGAAGGGAATGCCGAACATATTCGCTTCACTGGTTCCTCTGGTACCCTCTTCTCCCCATTCTATCCTACTCCTTATCCGAGAAAAGTCACTTGTATTTGGGTGATTTCCGTTCCTGCTAACAAAAGAGTGAAGCTAACATTTGATAAATTTAATCTTGATCGGGAGGACAACGTGCGAATACTTGATGGGCAAAAGTCGGGGAGTGAAGAGGTAGCTGTTTACTACGGATACAACTTGTTTAGTAGGGAGTCAGCGGTGTACTCGACTGGGGGGTACATGCGGATAAAGTTTCAATCCAGTCAGGACTCTTGGAATCATACTGGATTTAAAGCACGTTTTGAGGCTGTGGAACCGCGTAAGTACATTATGATTTTATTTATCAACAGACCAATGATTTTTAAAGCGTAAAGCTTGTTCGTTACCTTGGTCAATGTTTTTGATTTGTCGTGAAAAAGCGGGAGCAAGTTGGGATTTATCGCCGATCCTCGCTTTCCTGGTGCTTAGGTGCGCCTTCCACATCAACTGTGGGGTTAAATAGGTAATTTCAGAGATGGTTATCATTGGAAAATTAAAGGGGAAAAGGCTTGAAGTACCACTGATTATGACATCTCCAAGAGTTTTTGTTCCTAATGACACTTTTGCTCGAATTGCAAATTGGGACGGTAAGGTGTTATGAATAGTGACTAAAAAAATAAGTTTCTAGAAATTTCTAGAATGCCTAGTCACGCTGACATGCATACACGAACTTTCCACTGTCATACCATGGAACTTTCGAGAAAAATATATTAGATTATGAAGTTATGGTGGAAGACTTCTAAAACAGTTGTTTTGTAAGCTTTGGAAATGTCCTGGAATGCTTTGTAAATGTATCTAAGGACTCAGTCGTTTAATATTAGTAGTTGTTCTTGTTGGGAGTACCCGTCTGGAAAGCTATACCGAGAGAGATAGAGGGAGAGAGAGATGCGGTGGAAGATTGTTCATTTCAAAAAGATTTGGAGGCAGTGAGTGTGTGTCAGTGGTAAACTAAGATATAGTCCATAATGGGCTCAAGTAAGTTTTTTAGAAGATAACTATTGTAATACCCACATGGTATTACAATAGTAAGATCCATTACACGTTGTTTAATAAAGTAGCTGAGTTTGTAGGAGTATAGAATCTTCTTTCGGTTAAATTATATCGTAGGAAAAAAAAACATTTAAGCTTGGTTGTCTCGAAGTTTTCCTCTGTAACTGAATTTAGTCGAAGGCCCTGGACCAAGACTGTTTCCAGAGCATCTTTGTATTCCTCTTTTCACTTTGAATTTATCAAATATGTGGTGAATAACTTGAATCTCTGAGGACGCTGTACCACTTCATCAAAAAATTATGTTTCGTTATCACCTTCGGTGTTGCCAGTCGGGCCCTAGTATTCATATAAGTATTTTAAAGCTCAAAAGGGTTTAAACTCTGTAGAGAGCCTGCCAAAGACTTCCCTGAAAAATGGTAGGTTAATTTGGGTGATGCATCTTTCTTCCCAGCCGGAAGTTCCGAGCAGAGATGTTTTCCGGGCAACATTTACAACAATAACCTGACATTATCTGGTTACAGTGGAACTCTTCAAAGCCCAGAGGGAGGAGAAGGGTATCTCTCTCACTCCAGCTGTAATTGGCTCATAGCTGTACCAGAAGGGTACTTTGTGAAACTTAGCTTTGACACCTTTCAAATGGTTCAAGATGGCATCTCGGGAGGATGTGATGCAGATTATGTAGAAGTTGTCGATGGGAAGTACATCGATGGTGAGAGCGAAGGAAAATGTGCGGTTTTGGTACCCCTGATGACATCTCCTCTACCGGTCGTAACATGATGGTTCTTTTCAGGTCTGGTCCAATCAGATCATCTTTCATGGGATTCAAAGCAACATTTACAGCGCTTCATGATCCAACAAGTAAGTGAAAGCATTCCTATTTCTTCGTTTTCGGGGAAGTCGGTGTCTCCCCTTAAACACCTTGCCGCTCATTCGTAACATCCCTCATTTCCAATCAGCCAAAGAAATTTTATCTCAAAACATTTTGAAATTAGGTGGTAGAAAAGGCAAGTTCAAGGCAAGCGTGAAAAGCGCTCTTCATCACGACTGATTTGACAGGGTGTTGTTTGACAATACCTCAGAGGTTATCAGCACGAATGAAACAGAGTAAATAAAACGAAACTGTTATGTACTACCCCATCAAAATAAAATATTTTGAATTTGGTTGTGATTTTTTATGCCATTTAATTTTTGAATGATGACGCAAGAATCAGGTAGAGTGGTCGATAACTGACACAGTTTCAACTGGTTTTGAACTTGTGATGATCCACACGTAAGGCATTCACAACTTGTTAAAGTATGTTCTAAAAATGATATCTCATTATGCCAAGCATGGCTTTCCGATGTCTTCTAGCCGCCATCTTGCCATAAACAGTTACCTTTTTCACGTCAGATTTTGATAGGCTCGGTGGAACAGCCCCACCTGAATCTCTCCGAAGCCAATTCCCCTTCCCCTTCCCCCGTGGGATCACTTCAAGGAATTTACTTGATATTGTTTTCTAACTCCGTAGCGAAAACTAAAGCTGTAAATTCCAGCGAGTTATGTTACCCGGATAACGTCCACAACTTTGATTTGAGGTTGACCGGATCAGAAGGGATTCTAGAGAGTCCGTTGACCTACTACCCACCGGGTTTACTTTGTGAATGGCTCATCACTGTACCCGAGGGACAACGCGTTGAACTCATCTTCGAGAGATTTCAGTTGGATCCTGGTTGCAGAGATCATGTGCAAGTTGGAGATGGAATGTCATTGTCTGGTACATCTTTGGGAAAATACTGTGGAACTACAATTCCCGAAAACGTTCGTTCAAGTCACCGTAATCGTTATATGTGGGTTCACTTCTACTCTGCCACGGATTATGCGGGTAGAAAACCACACAGAGGATTCAAAGCCACCTTCAAGGCCGTATCAAGTTCAGGTTGTCTACCTTTGTTTTAAAAATTAGAGGTTGAATTTGTTGTAGCACGTCTCATGCACCGTCAACACGACTATCTTTTCAACGCTACGTGGAAACGATCCCTAGCTTCAGATAACTCTGCTTGTTTGACTTTTGTTTCTCTTTTTTCTTTAGAGTCTCGTGCTTGGATGACAGCCATTATTGTAACTGTCATAGTGTTTGTTGCACTGATATTCCTTTCCGTTTGCTTGGCTGAACGAATTAAAAGGCGAAACAGAGAGGTAGCGGAGAGGTTTCCAATGGCTATAGTATCACGCCGTATTCCGTCTGAACCTGTTGACACCACAATCCCTCAAGTAAGTCGCGCTCCAGTTTCAACAAACGCAGATATACCACCCCAGATTACCCATACCCATTAGAATCGCCATCACCCTACCCTGGTAAGGAACAGATTCCACAGTTTCCACCTCCAGGACAGTCGTATCCATGGCAGCAGAGTACACCGGCTGAAGAATCCGTTACCCATGAGAATTAGGCGAATTAAGCGTCAGCTGGGCAGAGAGGCTTACTGGGCTCAGCTGTATAAAGGGCGGATAAAGCTATACGACGGATAAATCGCCATCCAGCAGATAAGTGAAAGCAAAACGTATGGTGTCATCCACCGGATCGAGATTTATCCTGCGGATAGCGTTATCCGACCTTCGAACAACTGGGGCCAGCTCTATTTGGTCTATTTCTCTTTCTCGTGCTTGCATTTACTTCCTGTCGGTTCTCACCCACTTTTCCTGTGCTAATGCTTAAGGAAAAGTAAAAAAAGCACCCTATACATGTCATATCGGATCGTTATCATTATCTACCTGTAATCGGTGTTTTCATACACCCGATGGGGCAATCGGCAAAGACTGCTATCTCAGCCGTTGTCTGTGCCTTCGATTTCGTCGACAGTCCTGATCGGCGAATTAAAATCTCCAGTGGAGACAGTGGAGTTGGTTTGTCAAGCTATATCATATAATTACAAAAGTAGTTGTAGGGACTTTGGTTATGATGAATTATAGCGTAAAGAATGCAAAATTTACCAAACGGATAAAGAGAAAATAGATTATGGTTGAAGTACAATAGCAACGACACTGACAGTTTATTTTAATTGAAGCAATCATATCAGGGATTTGATTAACTCAAACCTGAATTAAGTAACAAGTCAGAATTATTATCTCCACAGTTTTGTTTATTTTTCAATGACCCTCTTTGATTTGTCCCTCAACGGATTATTTCAACAGCTGCACATACGCTACACAAGGGTAGTCATATGAAAAAGGCCTAAATTAAATTTTCATCGCCTCTTTTGTTCCTTAACTTAAAGTGTGGCAGAGGGTTCTTACGGAAAACAAAGAGATTGTGACATTAGGCCATTCCTGTTGACTTAACTTGATTCAGTTGTGCTTTGACAACAGTTGTTGCTTACATAGTAGTATTAGTTTCAATCTACTATAGAAGTAAAGAGAAACACAAGGGGCCGGTTATTTACACGAGGTCTGACCCAAACCGCTGTTTTACGCAATCAGAGGGCCTTTCGTAATCTTTGTGGGAGGGTTGTTTTTATTAAATAAATGCCCTTCATTGCTAGCTTTCGGCCCTCTTGACACTGTTCACAAACCGAATGTTCAGATAAAGATTCGGTATAATTCAAGATAGTTTAGAACGCGGTTTTGTTAAACCTTGGCTAAACTTTGTTGAAACTGAATAACCGGCCCGAAGAGTTGTAACCACCAGCTTCCTTCACTGTTTCCGATGCAAATGTTCGGGTATAGCGAGTTCCTTAGTTGAAAAAGACATATTCTTAAACATAATAAAAACTAGCGATGAAAAGGGTGACGTTTCGACCTCTCCGATTCCTTTATCAGGGTCTATTAAAATATGACAAGTTATGTTTACGAACAATTGTCGTGTAAATATAATGCTATTAAAAACAGATGAGAATGCAACAGGCATTACGGTTTGTTAAAATTGTATAATTACAACTAATCAAAATATTTATAAGGTACGAGAATAGTATATATAAATAGTATAATATAATTTTGCGGTGCTTGAGCTACACTGTTTGTTTAGCGGTGGTTAAAAAGCATGGCTAAACTGCTGAATACCCTGCCACTCATTTACATGTCATTGAATAAGAATAGCACCCATTGTGTTATGCCTCGTTCTTGGAGCCTCGCGCCACATGTAAATGAGGTGGACCAAAGTGGCAGGGTATTCTGCAGTTACTCCAAAAGCATTTCAAAAATAAGACAGACAAGGTTGTTCTCGCACTTTCTTAAATTGTTCAAACTTCGCTTGATGTTCCCCGGCTCCATGCCATGTTTTCTGAGCTGGTCTCCAATCACCGACCCTTTGTGTTCCTGAATAATTTGGCATGAGTATTCGACAGAGCCAGCATCATGTGCATCCCACAGGTCACACCAACCTATTGCTGACCCACAAGGGGTAGCAGCGGAAAAGTTTTCCCTAAAATGGGAAAGTACGCAACTGGGTGAAACTTTGAATGCAAAGTTGGGCATTGTTTTCAACAGCGCCCGTAAAAAATATTTAAGATAAGCTTATAGCGGTACGGGGCCCGTCAGCAATTATTTCCGAATATTTCCATACCTTTTCTCGGTTGCGCTACACGGAAAAACTTGTTCAATCTACCATCCATCATTTTATTGATGTAAAGATATCAGATGCATCTCGTGCTCAAAAAAAAATATTTAAGATAGGCTTATGGCGGTACGGTGCCCGACAGCAATTATTTCTGAATACTTCCAGACCTTTTCTTGGTTGCGCTACACGGAACCTGCAACCTACCATCCATCATTTTATTGATGTAAAGATATCAGATGCATCTCGTGCTCAAGCGACTGAGAAGTAAGAAGTTCCCAGAATCGTGTTTTCCTACAAGGAACATTGAGAAGTCGGCAAACTCGGAAAGAAGACCACTTGTAGATCTCAATTGCAAGATGAACACAGAAATCAGCCCGGTTAAGACAAGTCGAAACTGAGATAAAGAACGCGATCAGATTGAAGGAAGAGAAACCGCTCTTTTTTTTTTCCATGCGTGATCTGTATGATGCACTTTATTTTCGGATACACATGACAGCACTTTAATCAACGCATTGAAGATCACAAACGGAATCGGCGATCGGAGACCATCTCATAAAGGAGCGAGCATGACATGGAACCGGACAACTGACATCGCGTTGCCAAAACAAGCTTCAGTGTCTTATTTTTGAAATGCTTTTTGTCAAAGAACTGAAACCACTGCTAAAAAAATAATGTGACTTAATCCGTGCGAAGTTATCATTTTAGACTATTCTTTAAACTTTAAGAGCCGGTTATTGAATGACACGAGGTGCGGTCACGTTTTTCGTAATCAGTGGGCCTTAAATATTCTCTACAAGAGGGTTGTTTTCATTAAATAAATGCATTTCTTCTGCTAGCTTTCGGCCCTCTTGACACTACCTATGAAGAGACATGTTCACTTAAAAGAATCAGCTAAATTCAAGGTAGTTTAGGTTGTGGTTTTGTCAACCAACGGCTGGACTTTGTTTAAATAACGGGCCCAAAGATTTCAATATTTTGCAATCAATATACGATTTAACATATAGTTAAGCTTGTTACGCTCTTAATCGTTTTGAAACTATTTGATTTTTCTGTTAATTTTTTATAATTTTTGCTTTTAACTTTGAATTTTCTTAAGTTTAACGAAAGAGAAGGGGAAGACATCTTTGTTGTAATTGGAAAAGTGAAATGTGCAAAATACAGCTTCAATCTAACCTATAATCAAGAAAGTGCCAAAATTCTCTCTTTGAAATACATTCACTTCCCTTTTGTGTTCGTTTTATGCGTTTGTTTGTTTGTTTGGTTTGTTTCCCTGGGCATTCATCTATTTTTTAATTCTTGTTTACCCGTTTCATACAGCACATGGCTAAATGATGAATGAGTTACCGGCATGTCTATTCCGGGGGTGAGGGTGGCACGATGCTGGACACTTTGAAACTTTGGCTCGTTGTCTAAAGTTACGATGTCGCCTCCTGTAATTGCTGTAAAGAAGTCTAGGGTCCGGTTTTTCAAAAACCAGTATGGTAAATTAATTAATTACTCTTGAGGTTTATCCAGAATTTTGTCTACAGTTTTGTTACAATTTGGCAATTTATATCTTTAAGAGAACAAAGTTTGTCAAGAAAATAGCGACATTAGTAATTGTACCAAGGCAATAGCGACATTTACCTCTTAGTATCATTAACAAACCATCCGAAGCCTCGGTGTTTCGAAATTAATAACCCTTGTTAATCCGCTAAGTTACAATGTTTTGCGTCTAAGTTATGTTGGATGAGTTCTTTTGTTTCGATCTTGCACTTTTACGCATATGTGACAATGTTGTATCGTTTGGTAGGGGCTGTAGCGAACCTGCTCCAAGCAAATTCTAGCTTTGAAAGATCTTGACACATCTCAACACAAAAAAGCAATGCAAACCTTAATTACTTTACCTCAAAAGTTGAAGTTCTCACTGTATCGAGCAATACGAGTTTGCTTCACGTGGATCGCAAAATGTGCTCTTCACCTCCAACCCCCAACTACCTATTCTCATTCTAAACTCCCTGCCCTAGATCCCCGGAATAGACATATCGATGAGTTGCTTGTAATCGGATCCTTGTGTTTGCGCAAAGATTTCTGGGATCGCCATGGGGCAAACATTGCAACTCACTGGAACGCAATGTATGTGAAAGGTTGTTTCGACGTCCGAAAACACGATTTTGGAGTCAGATTGTTGTTTTTTATCAGAAATGGATTTGGGTGATGTTGATACAAGGGAAGTGTAAGCTTTTGTTTTTGGAGAGTGATTATTGCTTTTTCTCACATAAACTAAGTTAAGTGATATACAAAGATTTCCGGCCCTGAGAAAAGCCGTAACAACAAACGTGAAAAAACATCGTATCTTTTCACGTGTGTTGATATAGTCAATCTGCTGCTGATACGTCACTCGCCTTTGGCGCCACTCAGTGAGGTTGATGAATAAACGGCAAAGCCCTCACGATTCTCAGCACAAAGTAGTTTGTCGGAACTTTCTCGGATATGGCGGCTAAAACACTAAAAAAATCCGTATCGATGAAAGATAGAGAGAGGTTCAAACTTTCCTAAATGGGGAAAAAGAACTAAAAGGGGAAAAAGAACCAATATACAAAAAGAAAAACCGCAAGATACGTATTCAGTGGCTTTGGTGTTGGCATTCGCGGCTGAGAATGAAAATCGACAACTGGAAGATTTGCCACTGGCCGATTTTGGCCGTTTACCTGAAAGACTTCTTCTGTCGGTAAGGACAGAGTCAATAAATGAGAATTTTGTAAATTGAAAATTACGATCATTGTTGTTTTTGTAATCATGA